TAATCCCAAACAAAGCCTAGGTCCCTTCCCTCCTGCCCACTGTTTCACCCTGAAATCAGTCTTTAATCCCTAATCGCCTGAGGACGTCTGCTGTTTCGATCACTGCAGCAACCTTAAAGGGTAAGTAATAATTTTCTCGCCCTATTTTTGCTTTTTAACGAAGAGATTTTAATGCAAACAAAAAACATGCCAAGATCCGATCGATTTCAATAAATATTATTCTTACTTTGGTTACCAGTTGTATAATCTGTCAAGCGCAGTCAGAGGAAGTTAGTGAACAGGTTAATTTAGAATGAATTCTCCCTGTCCAAGGAAGATATAATCGGCTGGTCTTGTTGGTGACAGTGAAGACCTTATTACGGAAATTCTATTGCGTTTGCCTGCAAAGCATGTTGTCAGACTCAAATTGGTGTCCAAGAGATGGCTGTCTCTCATCTCCGATCGCAATTTCATCCTTGGCTACAAAGCAACCTCTGGTCTTATCCTTGTGGAAAGCCATTTTTCAACACCAAGACACTCCTTCGTTTCTCTAGATGAAGACGAAAGAACAACAGAGGAGGAATGTCCTACAAGATACATTTGTTCTTTTGACCCCCATGCTCCTACTCCTATAAAGATTTCAGATTCCTGTAATGGCTTGCTTTTGTGTTATGCTAAAGCAACAACATATCAGGCCGTCCCGTGCAGACTTTACGTTGTCAATCCTACCATCCGGTTATTCACCACTCTTCCTTTACCCCCTACTCCAGGGAGAGATTGGGACAATATTAATTTAGCATATGATCTCCGGAAGTGTCCTGTATACCAGGTTTGCAGTGTCATGCGCACAAAATCTGTTGTTATATTCACATATATTCATCTGACACTGGATTTTGGAAGTTGTTTGGTGCTTATAACTTGGACTAATTCCTTATTGGCTTTAACGGTGTTTTTTGCTATGGAACTATTCATTGGGTCTGTACAAATGGATCTTCTTATCGTTTAGACTTCAATCAAAAGTCTATAAAAAAGTTACCGAAGCCTCCACTTCCTAAGTATTGGGACGGTATTCGTGATCTTAAATATTTTGGGGAATCTGAAGACAATTTGTATTTTATTATTCGTGATACTAGATTATCGTCAACATTCATTGTCTATGAGTTGCATAATGACTGCTCTGGATGGTTTGCAAAGTACAGTTTAGACATAAAAGACATCTCATCAGCTGCCTTTCCCGAAGTTAATGATCATTTTCAAGGACCTCTTCCCGTGTTGTTTTACGAACTGCAACGACTACACATGTTTTGTCCGGTGCTTTCATTCGTGAAGGTTAGGAATGAAGGTCCAGAGCTGGTGACAAGTGTACCAGGTAAGATCATATCTTATAGCTTCAAAAATAACACCGTCAATGAGCTTCATGATTTTCATGATAAATTTGAAAGGTATAAGGCTTTTAATTTCCATGGAACTTGGTCATGTATCTGATGGCGGTGATCATTTGATGAGTATTGCTT